TATTTCTGTTGAGTAGCTATGTATTCTGTCCTATATTAGACACATTTGTAAATATCTGTCACAATATGGGCATAGAGATGATATAACGATAGCTTATCTTTGCGGACGACGCTAAACTTTGGCATCGACACCACGGCCTACAAGTTCAAATTCGGTCCTTCAGAAATGTTTGAAGTCTCTAGATTAAAACTACTTTTCTCTTTTATGTACCTACTGACCACATCACATGCATTTGTTCTGAAAGTCTAAAAACAGAGGCACAAATATATCGTCTAGACTTGTGAGGTCTACAGATTAGGTATTTTGGCAGTAATCTAAGCCCTTGCCTGTTCTGACTCAAAGCCTTATTCTTTCTCTATCGACGCCTTGCGTAACATGGGATTGGGTTTTTAAAGCGGCATAAAGCTTTATGTTGTTCCTTTTTGAGTACACTAGATTAAAAACTAACGTTTTCAGATGCCTAAAGATGTTTAACCACTAATTAATCAGAATAATGGGTCAAGATTTCAATTCTTGGTTTTGGGACACGTTAGTTGCCGGGGTTGAGCTAATGTCGATAGCATAAGGACTGTACCTTGATGCGGGCGTTTTATTTGTTGCCCATCGTAATAATTGAATGGTTGATGGGGCTTCTTCAAGGGTTTGATTTGCCGTAATGTTAATGATATCATGCATGTGCGGCTTTTCTAAGAAGAAAATGCGTTTAAACACTTTTTAGTTATGCTTTTTTTAAATAGACCTATATTTTACGACATCATAATCGTAATGAACAATAAAATGAATTTAAACAACTTTAGAATACACCTGTTTCGGCTAACATGAATGTTATTCTTCAAACTAGTAATGTTAAACGTGTCTTTTTCGCATTTTCGACTTATAAGCAATACAGTAAATTCCGATAACGTCCATATGCATACAAGCAATGGCGTAGGCGAGGAGGGGTTTAATAGTGATTTAATAATGATACTTTCTTAACCCTCTACTGGACATCATGTTTGGTACCTTGCCCCCGGCAACTGGGTGGATTTGGATTACACCCAAGTTTTACTTCATAGTAAATGGCTTCAGTTTTAATTATTGGAGTTGGTAGCAACATTGACACAGTTGAAATCACATTAATTAGTATATAATTTACCATTACTAACAATAGGCCCTACTTAATTGTTTAATGTTGCTGGATATTAAGCCTGGTAGGTATTTATATTTATTAATTTGTACAGAAACAAAAAAAGGATTCCCAAACAAAGTTTTATTTTTCAGAAATAAAGAAAATGATACAAATCAATAAAGAACAGTTTTCAAAAGAATTTGTATAAAAGTAATTATTATAAAATAAGAATATAGCATTGCATAGATAAAAATAAAATACTTGACACAAACAATATGAGGAATATTTGTTATCAGAGAAGAGAAAAATATATGATGTAGTTTGAAAATAATAATGTACAGAATGTAGCTTTTGCAGATTAAAATGAAAATTCTCATGCCTATATAATTTATTGAGTAAATGAAGCAAGACCCAAAACAATAGGCTAAATAATATGCATGGGACAGGCATTGAAAACTACAAATTGCATATAGTGAAGGTTACCCTATTTATTGGCTATATCCACAGTAAAGATTTATGGCTTTATTACCTGCTTGTAAAATTGTTAAGGAAAAAGTAAAGTATTGTTAACTTTTTATGGCAGACCAACTATGGGCTGTGTTCTGGGAACATGTCATCTGTAAGGGGCATTGTTCTCGGCACATGTCATTTTTTGTGTTCTCGGCACATTTTGCCATTTTGTGTGTTCTGGGAACATGTTGCCATTTTGTGTGTTCTGGGCACATAATGACATTTTGTGTGTTCTGGGAACATGTTGCCATTTTGTGAGTTCATGGAACATGTTGACATTATTTGGCTGTGTTCTGGGAACATGTTGCCATTTTGTGTGTTCTGGGAACATGTTGCCATTTTGTGTGTTCTGGGAACATGTTGCCATTTTGTGTGTTCTGGGAACATGTTGCCATTATGTGGCTGTGTTCTAGGAACATGTTGACATTATGTGGCTGTGTTCTGGGAACATGTTTGTTTCATTTTTAAATATTATAATAAAACATTTTTAGAAATTCTATATTAGGAATTGTGTATATATATAAATTTATATATTTAATAAGACAATTGGATGAATTATAATAAACAGCAAAAATGATTCAAATAAGTTTAGAAGTATTTGGCTTGCTGTCCTAACAGTGAACTGTATTGCGAGCTTGTTTCCCTAGTGATAACCCATGTTTTTTGTGCGACCCTTCCAATCAAGTATCCAGCTTTTTCTTGGCCTGTATCAAAATGCTGGTCAGACTTGCTTGACTTGTGTATCACAATATGATTTTGAATGTTTTTCTGTAAATGAAATAAAGGCAAAATATTTTGATACTTTCTTTTGTGGAACTTGCAAGAAAAATAAATTACAAATTTATATTACTATCTCTAATATTTCTTTACTATAACTAATTACTTTGAAAAGATAAAGCACTGAACATGATGAATAACAAGAAACAAACATTATCAGCAAAGATTATAGATTTAAAATTGTGTTTATTCATATTGAAGATTAATGAAGTAGACTATCAATATTTACCCTCTTGATGGCTGATACTTTGATTTGATGTCTTTACTTTAAGCTTACACATCAGTCTCTGTGTGGTAAAATATGAAATAATATGCTTCAATAAAACTGTTTCAGTATATTAATTATATTAGATAAGTACATAGTTTTGAGCTCTATAACAATATGTGTTTCAATTATCATTCAAATATAATACCCTCTATGTTGTACACTCACTGATTTATAAGAATTTTAAAAAAGACAATAATTAATAAAATATTTTGGATTAAAATCCATTATATTTATTATAACATACAATGCTATCTCTTGCTATAATAATTACTTTAAAAAATGGGTTATGCCTATAGTACAGTTACCTGAGGATGAAACTAGGCACAGTGTATAGTCCACGGAGACTGATTAATATCCCTTGTAATTGAACATCAGTTGAAGTTATGAAATCTGGATGGCCAAACACACACTCATAGTCCTGAAAAGCAATTTACACATAGATTAGCAAGAATATCTCACAAATTATTAAATTAAAGCCAACCCCTATTTAGTGCAATCCATCAAAGTAGTAGCATTTTTGTTAAGTTGTAGAAATAATATAAAGTAATGTTTGTTCTGTGATTTACATACTTTTATAAAATAGCAATCAAATTATATATATATATATATATATATATATTCATTGTACATTTTAGCTATGTCTTGCTATTAAATTTATTTACTCGACTGATCTAAACTCACTTTATTTAAACATAATATAGTGGATAAGTATAGTGATTTTATTATTCAGCAATAAATAGCAGCCCTAAAAAAATTTAAATAGTAACGTTTGCGAATGAACACATTAAATTCTATGTATTTCCATTTCTATGTCTTTCCCAACTTGATGCATATTACTAACCAAGCATTAAACTATAGTCCTAAACCTGACTCTAATTACCATTTATTGGACAACCTGAACCTTTGCGATACCATGTTATAATATATTATTTTAAAAAAGAGCTTACCACTAATTAGTAAAATCAATTGTTTTTAGTATTAACTGAGCCGCATACTATCTGCTGCTATTGTCATCACCAGAAATCCAGTATGTTGGCAAAGATTAGTCTCTAAGTTCCCTGCAACCTCTTTCCTCTCGAGTGCGGAAAACACTGAAATCATTATTCATTATTTCATTATGCCTAATAGTTTAAAGGTACTATTAAAGTAGTACTAAATAGTACGAGTCTAAGTTACTATAGGTCGAATGATAATTATTATTGTGTATGCTTACATGCTTTAAGTTTTATGCACAATATTGGTATATAATATATAGTCTATAGTATATAGCCTAAGCTATAGAGTATATAGGCCTATGAGCCTAAATATAACAGCAGCTTGAATAATGCTTATTAGCATGCATTCACTATAAACTATAAAGATAATCAAATATTTCAATTTAATTAAATTATAACTAATAGGCCTAATAGTAAATAGGCTTTTTTCTTGTGGCAACAAATTTAAAGTATAGGGCAGTACAGTTATAGTATAGGCCTACTAGATTCTATATTTAAGTATGTGGGCTTTTCATTCCAATGCACCACAATAGATACCACACATGATCAAGCTGGACCTCTGATCTAAAGATTTAATAATTGGGCCTAACAAACAGTGAAACTACAATAAAAATCATGTAAATTACTAATTTAACCTTCTTACCTCCGCTTCTCTAGATTCCTATTCTATTTCCTTCAAACTTTCTTTTTATGCAGCCGTATGATTAGATTCTAGACTATATTCTAATAAACATGAAATAACTACTAACCAGAACACTAGATCTGAATTTCTATATTCTATGCAATATGTATTAAACCTATAGGCCTAATATTTATTTTAAATTCCTATGCGATGTGTCGTGAACTGTAGGTTTCATGTTATTTTTTTAATGGCGGAAATCAGTTTAAAATTTCGTTTCCTTCCTTTTGTTATTCTATTTATAGATTCAAACTGCTTAGAGACGGAGCAATTATCATTGAGTTAGTCGGCTGATCCAAACAGGAAGTGCGGGTATATCTATTACTTACTCAGTGATCAGATCATTGACAAAAACAGAGATAGCCATTCGCATGGGGTGGGTCTCTCTCTCTCTCTCTCTCTCTCTCTCTCTCTCTGTCTGTCTGTCCACCCCCACCCCATGCGAATGGCTATCTCTGTATCTGTCAATGATCGGATCACTGAGTAACTAATAGATATACGGTCACTTCCTGTATGGATCAGCCGACAAACTCAATGATAATTGCTCCGACTTTTGAATCTATAAATAGAATAACAAAAGGAAGGAAACGAAATTTTAAACTGATTTCCGCCATTACAAAAATAACATGAAACCTACAGTTCACGATACATCGCATAGGAATTTAAAATAAATATTAGGCCTATAGGTTTAATACATATTTCTTAGAATATAGAAATTTAGATCTAGTGTTCTGGTTAGTAGTTATTTCATGTTTATTAGAATATAGTCTAGATTCTAGAATCTAATCATACGGCTGCATAAAAAGAAAACCCATCTGCCATCTAGATCTAGAGAAGCGGAGGTAAGAAGGTTAAATTAGTAATTTACATGATTTTTATTGTTGTTTCACTGTTTGTTAGGCCCAATTATTAAATCTTTAGATCAGAGGTCAAGCTTGATCATGTGTGGTATCTATTGTGGTGCATTGGAATGAAAAGCCCACATACTTAAATATAGAATCTAGTAGGCCTATACTATAACTGTACTGCCCTATACTTTAAATTTGTTACCACAAGAAAAAAGCCTATTTACTATTATTAGTTATAATTAAATTAAATTGAAATATTTGTTTATCTTTATAGTTTATAGTGAATGCATGCTAATGAGAATTATTCTAGCTGCTGTTATATTTAGGCTTATAGGCCTATATACTCTATAGCTTAGGCTATATACTATAGACTATATATTATATACCAATATTGTGCATAAAACTTAAAGCATGTAAGCATACACAATAATAATTATCATTACACCTATAGTAACTAAGACTCATACTATTTAGTACTACTTTAATACTACCTTTAAACTATTAGGCATAATGAAATAATGATTAATAATTTCAGTGTTTTCCGCACTCAAGAGGAAGGAGGTTGCAGGGAACTTAGAGACTAATCTTTGCCAACATACTGGATTTCTGGTGATGACAATAGGAGCAAATAGTATGCGGCTCAGTTAATACTAAAAACAATTGATTTTAGTAATTAGTGGTAAGCTCTTTTTTAAAATAATATATTATAACATGGTATCGCAAAGGTTCAGGTTGTCCGATAAATGATAATTAGAGTCTGGTTTAGGACTTTAGTTTAATGCTTGGTTAGTAATATGCATCAAGTTGGGAAAGACATAGAAATGGAAATACATAGAATTTAATGTGTTCACTCGCAAACGTTACTATTTTAAATTTTTAGGCCTGCTATTTATTGCTGAATAATAAAATCACTATACTTATCCACTATATTATGTTTAAATAAAGTGAGTTTAGATCAGTCGAGTAAATAAATTTAATAGCAAGACATAACTAAAATTTACAATGAATATATATATATATATATATATATATATATATATATATATATATATATATATATATATATATATATATATTGCTATTTTATAAAAGTATGTAAATCACAGAACAAACATTACTTTGTATTTTGTCTACAACTTAACAAAAATGCTACTACTTTGATGGATTGCACTAAATAGGGGTTAGCTTTAATTTAATAATTTGTGAGATATTCTTGCTAATCTATGTGTAAATTGCTTTTCAGGACTATGAGTGTGTGTTTGGTCATCCAGATTTCATAACTACAACTGATGTTCAATTACAAGGGATATTAATCAGTCTCCGTGGACTATACACTGTGCCTAGTTTCATGCTCAGGTAACTGTACTATAGGCATAACCCATTTTTTAAAGTAATTATTATAGCAAGAGATAGCATTATATGTTAAAATAAATATAATGGATTTTAATCCAAAATATTTTATTAATTATTGTCTTTTCTTAAATTCTAATAAATCAGTGAGTTGTACAACATAGAGGGTATTATATTTGAATGATAATTGAAACACATATTGTTATAGAGCTCAAAACTATGTACTTATCTAATATAATTAATATACTGAAACAGTTTTATTGAAGCATATTATTTCATATTTTACCACACAGAGACTGATGTGTAAGCTTAAAGTAAAGACATCAAATCAAAGTATCAGCTATCAAGAGGGTAAATATTGATAGTCTACTTCATTAATCTTCAATATGAATGAACACAATTTTAAATATATAATATTTGCTGATAATGTTTGTTTCTTGTTATTCATCATGTTCAGTGCTTTATCTTTTCAAAGTAATTAGTTATAGTAAAGAAATAGTAGAGATAGTAATATAAATTTGTAATGTATTTCTCTTGCTAATTCCACAAAAGAATATTTCAAAATATTTTGTCTTTATTTCATTTACAGAAGAACATTCAAAATCATATTGTGATACACAAATCAAGCAAGTCTATAACCAGCAATATGATACAGGCCAAGAAAAAGCTGGATATTTGATTGGAAGGGTGGCACAAAAAAGATGGGTTATCACTAGGGAAACAAGCTCGGAATACAGTTCACTGTTGGGACATCAAGCCAAATACTTCTAAACTTATTTGAATCATTTTTGCTGTTTATTATAATTCATCCAATTGTCTTATTAAATATATAAATTTATATATATACACAATTCCTAATATAGAATTTCTAAAAATGTTTTATTATAATATTTAAAAATGAAACAAACATGTTCCCAGAACACAGCCACATAATTTCAACATGTTCCCAGAACACACAAAATGTCAACATGTTCCCAGAACACAGCCAAATAATGGCAACATGTTCCCAGAACACAGCCAAACAATGTCAACATGTTCCATGAACTCACAAAATGGCAACATGTTCCCAGAACACACAAAATGTCATTATGTGCCCAGAACACACAAAATGGCAACATGTTCCCAGAACACACAAAATGGCAACATGTGTCGAGAACACAAAAAATGACAACATGTGCCGTTAACAATACTTCACTTTTTCCTTAACAATTTTACAAGCAGGTAATAAAGCCATAAATCTTTACTGTGGATATAGCCAATAAATAGGGTAACCTTCACTTTATGCAATTTGTAGTTTTCAATGCCTGTCCCATGCATAGTATTTAGCCTAGTGTTTTGGGCCTTGCTTCATTTACTCAATAAATTATATAGGCATGAGAATTTTCATTTTAATCTGCAAAAGCTACATTCTGTACATTATTATTTTCAAACTACATCATATATTTTTCTCCTCTCTGATAAAAAATATTCCTCATATTGTTTGTGTCAAGTATTTTATTTTTATCTATGCAATGCTATATTCCTATTTTATAATAATTACTTTTATACAAATTCTTTTGAAAACAGTTCTTTATTGATTTGTATCATTTTCTTTATTTCTGAAAAATAAAACTTTGTTTGGGAATCCTTTTTTTTGTTTCTGTACAAATTAATAAACATAAATACCTACCAGGCTTAATATCCAGCAACATTAAACAATTAAGTAAGGCCTATTGTTAGTAATGGTAAATTTTATACTAATTAATGTGATTTCTCCTGGCCACCTTGTTCTGAATACCTTCAACTGTGTCAATGTTGCTACCAACTCCAATAATTAAAACTGAAGTCATTTACTATGAAGTAAAACTTGGGTGTAATCCAAATCCACCCAGTTGCCGGGGGCAAGGTACCAAACATGATGTCCAGTAGAGGGTTAAGAAAGTATCATTATTAAATCACTATTAAACCCCTCCTCGCCTACGCCATTGCTTGTACGCATATGGAAGTTATCGGAATTTACTGTATTGCTTATAAGTCGAAAATGCGAAAAAGACACGTTTAACATTACTAGTTTGAAGAATAACATTCATGTTAGCCGAAACAGGTGTATTCTAAAGTTGTTTAAATTCATTTTATTGTTCATTACGATTATGATGTCGTAAAATATAGGCCTATTTAAAAAAAGCATAACTAAAAAGTGTTTAAACGCATTTTCTTCTTAGAAAAGCCGCACATGCATGATATCATTAACATTACGGCAAATCAAACCCTTGAAGAAGCCCCATCAACCATTCAATTATTACGATGGGCAACAAATAAAACGCCCGCATCAAGGTACAGTCCTTATGCTATCGACATTAGCTCAACCCCGGCAACTAACGTGTCCCAAAACCAAGAATTGAAATCTTGACCCATTATTCTGATTAATTAGTGGTTAAACATCTTTAGGCATCTGAAAACGTTAGTTTTTAATCTAGTGTACTCAAAAAGGAACAACACAGAGGCGTATCCAGGTTTTCGGTGTAGGGGGAGCGGAAATAGCAAAAAAAAGGCGCCGAATTTGTAATATCTTATACATAAGTATATATATATATATATATATATATATATATATATATATATATATATATATATATATATATATATATATATATATATATATATATATATATATATATATATATATATATATATATATATAATCACACTAGAACCAAAAACAATAAACGGCATAATCTGTTTCGTAATCCTTTTAAACAAATGCATAATAATTCCTGGGACATCTATTAAGACTAGCGAAAAGGGGAAATAATCAATATCTTAATATAAATATGTATATGTCTACATATTTTATTATAAATATCAAAACAAATCAATAACTACCTAAGAATCTAATAACATAGTTTAACACTATTCGTTTTTACAAAAATATTTTATCTACAATCAGAATTAAATATATTGTCATCATAAATGCTAAACTTGTGCAGCATAATGAAAGTTTCTTAAATCAGAGTTGGTATAAAACCCAGCTTCTCAACAAAGAAGTTAAAGGTTCGGAATAATAGCCTGTATATAACTATAATATCGGTTATAACAATTCAGATCATACTCTTTTTTAATTAGCTACTGACTTTTAGTGTTCTTTAAAGAAAATTTTTTGACATAATGAGAAGGTATGGGTTAGATCACTGTATTGCTCACACACCTTTTACTGGTAATTGCAAGGACAATATTCACAGAGATTTACGTTTCCAATGTGCCGATCAAAGATAATTTTTTAACAAATATCAATGTTTAAAACTTTGAGTTTTAAAGGTTTCCAAAAAAGGCGCCACTTTGCTAAAAATGGCCAGAGGGGGAGCGGCCGCTCCCCCTGCTCCCCCCCTGCGTACGCTACTGGAACAACATAAAGCTTTATGCCGCCTTAAAAACCCAATCCCATGTTACGCAAGGCGTCGATAGAGAAAGAATAAGGCTTTGAGTCAGAACAGGCAAGGGCTTAGATAACTGCCAAAATACCTAATCTGTAGACCTCACAAGTCTAGACGATATATTTGTGCCTCTGTTTTTAGAGTTTCAGAACAAATGCATGTGATGTGGTCAGTAGGTACATAAAAGAGAAAAGTAGTTTTAATCTAGAGACTTCAAACATTTCTGAAGGACCGAATTTGAACTTGTAGGCCGTGGTGTCGATGCCAAAGTTTAGCGTTGTCCGCAAAGATAAGCTATCGTTATATCATCTCTATGCCCATGTTGTGACAGATATTTACCAATGTGTCTAATATAGGACAGAATACATAGCTACTCAACAGAGATAAGCGCAATCACTTGTCCACGACTTAAGAAACCACTGTACTGCAAAACCCACCGAAATGGAAAATGTCTTAGATGTGTGTTTTAATACAAATGTGTACCTCGTCGCGAGTTAGGACCTGTAGGTAGTCTGTTACTACTCTATATCTAAAAACAATGAAAAGATAACGTGAATTTTACTTGTTTAATTTCTTGGTTAACTGTATTTGTTGCATCTTGTTGAATTTTGTTAATATTGATTAACCTAAAGGGTTCAAATGTAACAAAGAAAATTGTGACTAAGTTTCCGGGTGCGGGTATGCTGACACTAGTTAAAGTAGGCCCTATATATCTATTTATATTTATAGAAATGAAAGTATGTTTATCTGTTTGTCCTATATGAATTACTACATCTTTTTCATCGGATCGCCATAAAACTTTGTGAACAGAGTTTTTTCCAGGAATCTATTCGGAGGGGGGGGGGGGGGGAAGCAGAGCCCCCCACCCCCCGAAGAAAGTCTATCGACCCCCCCCCCCACCCCCGAACGAAACGGAATTTATATAGAAAAAAATACTTTTAACAGTGTCCGCACGCCCCCCCCCCCCGGAAAGATTTCGCCAGGGCGGCACCCTAGCAGGAAGCAGAAGCGTAGCAACCTATTCCGGCAGCCGGGGCGAACTATCAATTATGTGCCAACCCTATTCAAACGCTGGAAAAAAGGCGCCCATCCCTACATACACTCCCCTATATAAAATAATTGAGGATATCAGCCATGTATAAATCTGTTTTCTTAAATTTTACTGAAGAATGAGGATTTTTTTAAAAATTGTCTACCCCTTTTGGCGCCCCATTCGATCTGGGGTCTCTGACAGGAAGCAATGCAATTTTTCTCCATAAAAATAAAAGCCAGATGCAATTTGACACTGTTCGTACGAGAGTCATAAAATTTTGGGTAGTTGGTGAAAAGGGTTTCGAGAAAGAAAAAAATTCTTAAGTGTGGCACCCTGGGAGGGTTCGATTTTTTCTAATTATACGATTATGAGCTCAGAATCCAGAGAAGAATCCAGAGGGGCTATCTCATCAATTGCGGTCATAGGTAATACTAGATTCAGCAGAGGCGCAGCGAGGGGGGCGGGGGGTACATATGTCCCCGGGCGCCAACCCTAGGGGCGCCAAAATGGTTGGAAAAATTTAAAAGCTCATTTTAGCTATAGTTTTGCATTATAAATATTTAAAAAATACGGGGATGGGGCACCAAATTGAAAGTTTGTCTCCGGCGGGAGGGGGGGGCGCCAAATTGAAAATTTGTCCCCAGGCGCCAGGAATGGTGATACGCCTCTGAGATTTAGTGATAAAACTACACCAGGTTCATCCGCCAGCTCCCCGGCGGTTGAGTGGCCCAGAGCAGCCAAGACCCATCTCGGGCGACACTACGGTTTAGATGGGCTACTATAAATGTTCACTAAGTAGAATAATGAGCGCCCGCCGGCGCCCTGGCAGTTGGCGACAGCGAGCGCCCCGGGCTCTACAGAGAGTGCCTCCTTAAAGAGCACCCTACAATAGGGACACGGTGGCACACGACATTTTATAATTAAACCGAATTAGGGGCGCCCCTGCGGAAATATAACCAGTGGCTCCCTGGAGCGCCAAGGGACGCGTCTCTAACACACGGGCGGTCGCCAATGTGTGTTCTACCTCACTATTACAGAGGTTGATTAACGTACACTCAATGCTTTCATACAGTGAGCCTTGGTGCGTCTAGGCGGCAGTGTGGACAAACCCGCGCCCCAAAAACGAATATGTGGGTTTGTTTGTTTAAGCATTATCAAAGATTTCATTCGTTTGTCATTCAAATTTGAGAAGTTAATGCTAATACCCCTGTGGTGGTTTCTACGAAAAAAAATTCGATTTGGTGGCGCCCTGGCAGAGTTCCATTTAGCTCCCCGGGTTTTCCCGTGAGTACTATGGTACCTTTGTTCGTTTTAATAATTGCGAAACGCTATGAATATGATGGGCTACTATAATCGCTCACTATACCGAGTGAGGCGCCTTCCTACCTAGGCCCACCTACCTACATACCTAACTCCCTGCCTACGTACCTACCTATCTACTAACCTGCCTGCGCTGCTGCTTGCCTACCTACTTTCCTACCTACCGTTATTCCTGCCAAACTGCTTTCCTTCCACCCCGCCTGTCTACCCACCTCACATCCTACTTACACACACACATATCTTCGTATGTATATATGTATGTGTTAGTATGCTCTAGGACTATGTATTTTTACATTTTTTGTTGTTACGTAGAACTATTCAGTATAAAGGAGTTTCCTTTTTTTTTGACGTTGTAACTGCCGCTAAAATATTCTTTTTTGTATGTGTGCATAAAACAGTGTAGGTTTATTAACAAAAGTAAATTTTAGTATGTATTTAAGTGTATATAATCATTTTCGTCAAGCCAATGTGTTCATAATCTTAAATTTAAAAACCCATGAAACTCGATAGCCAAA